AGGCTGGTCTCCAAGATGTGGTTAGGATTGTAGATATTCCACCTACAAACCTAAAAGGACAATTAGTTCGTAATCGTCTTTACGACCGCCTTTGTACAACTCCTTCCTGCATCATATGTCCGTTCGGAAAGCAAGGGGACTGCATGACATCGGGGGTAGTGTACCTAATCACATGCTGTCTTTGCAAAGAGGTATGTCGGTGAAACTGGCAGGCCTCAATGAATATCGGTGCTTTCACTACAACGATGCTCAACCGGGCAGCGTAGCTGATGTAGTAGCGATGGAGGAAAGTCTGCTGCAAGGAAGAACAAACTAGAAATTTTTTATTTGATCAGGACAAAATAAACAAACAAATGTAGGCATCAGTGGTTAGTTTTCTAGAGTCCTACGCTTGGACCATGCCGTCAGCGATTTAGTCGGTTTCAAACACGTCCTCCGGAACGCCCATCCTCTTCGCATAACTGTCGAGTAGAGCTCGATCTTCCTTCGATATTGGTGGTACCTGAGATTTCAAACGTATAAGTGAGCATTCTTAGAATCACTGCAAGTCCAAGGCTATTTTTCCAGAGTAATTACAAGTTTTGTCAAAGAGGCACGTCTACATTGACAATCAGAGCATGCTTACAACACTAAAATCCATCCCCCCCCCACCGTCGAAGTTCCTCCTTAGATCTGGCTTCTGCAGCTACCTACCCTCTTGCTGAGTTTACTTGAAATTCTGCCGGGACAGCCAAAAATCGGAAGAGTTCTCTCGGAGCCAAATACGACCCCTTCCCTTGTATTTACCATAACCATGATTTTGGCCTGCATCCATTTCGCTAGTGGGCGGGGTCACTCACGCTTTTGGTGTGCACTTAATCCTCCCCATTCGCGAACATTCGCCGGAATGAACTCAGCCTGAGGCCGTGCAGTTACTTCCTGACGCTAGAGCATAGGAGAACAGGGGACAGGAGAATCCGAGAATAGGAGACTGAGCTCCAAATCACACGTATTGATTTTACGATTCGGAGGAAGGGAGAAGGCGCGCATTAGGAAATTTCGCGACAAAGGACCAATAGATCGATTGTTTCCGATTTTCCCCATAAGCGACCAATTGATCGGTTAGGTATGTACTTTTTTCGCCATGTCACCGCAACTCAGATCTCCTGGCTCACACCCTTGCACCTTTCAATAATTCTTACCTCGACTTGTTCTAGACTTTGTTGAGAAAGGAAGGTTCCCTGCTGAGAATCGATCTTCTTGCACTCAACAGCGTCAGCAACACAGGATAGTGGAATTCCGAGCTAGAACAGTATTACTAAGGATACTGGGTAGTACCTTACAAAGGTACAGAAGACGTCATCGAAGATTACCTCATTGAAGACTGATGTCAGCACATTTTCCGTCTCATGAATTACCTCGTGGAACCACACTATAGGATGACAATACATTTCCTTGTTCTTTTCGTAATGAGACAGAGGTGAGGCTAGTATTATGGCTGATTGGCCCTGAAAGGCTTGAAAAGTAGTCATCGCTTCTTGTGTGCAGGAGAATCTACAGACTTGTTCGCTGCGGATGGGCGTATCAGAGGCTGGGTCTGATGCAGAGCCAGTCCCCATTTTTTTATTACCTGATTGTAGTCGCTTGTCCGTTTCAAACAATTTACGCGAGAAACAGGCGGGCGCCGCGTCAAGGCCCGCTCTCTCCCTCTGACACGCCCAGCGTTTGCTGCCGAAAACATCTGTGACTTTTCATTGCTGCCCTGTTTTTAACAAAGTATGCAGTAGCGAGAGTTAGGCCACAACGATTCTCTGTCGTCAAGCGCTCCAAACACTATCTTGGTGATTGAGGGGGCGCGCCAGATGAGCGGAGAAAAAGGTTGCACCTTTCTTTGCCAAACAGTCCGAAAATTATGATATCAAAGAACAACATTGTACGCATTCACACATATAGTTTGGGTGTGCGTGACTATCAGCCCCCAGCTGTCGAAGCGTAGCGGTTTCACCGTCCTAACATGCGCAGGAATGGAGATACAGGACCGTGAAACACCTATTCCTCCATGCTCCGCCCAATGCCTTTTGCGGCGCAGACTCCCGTTTATGTTGAATAGCCGTCCACGCGGCGCCGTGTCGCGCGCAGCGTCTTGACAACTTTGCCCAAGTCCTGCTAGTTTGCTGCTGTTGGAATACAAGTAAAACACAGTTTTTCTGGCGGATAACATTTGAGGTGTTGCTCATGCTGCAAAGTCGAATAGAAGGTGATGAAGATGACAAAGGCTAGAAATGAAGAACAACGAATGTAGATGTAAATAAAACAAAAATGAAAAAATTAAGGAAATGCAAATTAATTAAAATCGCATGAATTGTTGGAATTCGGCGCGATTCCGCCTTAAAACCCATAAAAATACTTCAAACTAACGCCCGACAGTGAGACGACGCTTAGCCCATTTTTATTTCCATGTTTCGTGGAAATGCGCGGCCTCCGAGGGAAATTGCAGAAGCGGCACAGTTGATCTTGAGTTCTGCCCCTCGTCAAAACATCTTCGCGTTTCTTATTTTGCGCACTTCAAATTGTATATCCGCATCAGGAAATTGAGTTTTACTTGTTTCCAAAGCGCAATTGCAGGACTTGGCAAAGTGCCAAGAGAGCTGCGCGCGACATGCGCCGCACGGACGGCTGCTATAGCCATAAGGCGAGCACCGCCAAAAGGCATTGGCGGGAGCATAGTAGGAATTATCGTTGTTCCACGCGCTACTGGATCTCATTCCTGCGCATGTTAGGACGGGAACCGCTACGCTTCGACAGCTGGGGGCTGAGAGTCACGCACACCCAAACTATGTGTGATCGTACCATGTGTCTTCAAACAACCTACCCTCATATCTTGTGGGCGAAGCTTTCTCACCCATTTCCCTTCACCAGCAACCAATGTGCCGAGGCAGCGAGATAAGAATGGCGAATATTTGTAAAGCTCCAACAACAATAAATACAGAAATTCGGCACTGCAAGATGTAATATTGGAGGAATTGCAACAAAATAAACAGAGGAGGCAATAGCGTGTCGGCTGAAGGTACATTCCGCCTTTCTCTTGGGTGGAGAACATAACAACTGCGCTGTCTCTTCGTCATTCGCGGGGCACCCCTCTTTACATTAGAAGAGGGGGCACCAACGACAAGGGCGCATTAGTTACTAATCTTCGCCTATTAGTTATCACGGAATATTACTTCAAAGGAGCCTGCTGTTTGGGTTCAAATCAATGAGTCAACTTTTACTGAAAAGTTGTAGAAAAATTACATGTGCAGTGAAACAGCATTTCATTTTCTCAATGTCTCCAGCTCAAATGGTGACCTGCCGTTGGATGAGTTATCTACCAGGTCCCAAAATTTCGTGACTATCAAACTCGAGTCAAACTTATCTCAGAAAAACTATCAATGATCGTTGCGCCCAGATTTGGGGGCTCGGAGTTATAGTGAGAGCGAGGTGACTAAAGAACTCACCGCCTGCACGCTTTCTCCACAGAGAACAAGGCTTTCTTACGGAACATGAAGATATGTTTAAGATTCGGGATATCCTTACATAACGGGACCAATCTCGCTTCAAATGACTGCGTCTTCAGAATGCATAGAGTATCAACAGGAAGATGTGCTCGTAGACAAGTTATCGTAGCATGAAGTAAAGT